TGGCTTTTTTTCCCTCCTGTGGGTGTTAGTTGTGCCCCGGTCAGCTCGTGGGCAGCCTGAGGTGTATTTTGTGCGCTAGAGAAAGCCCTTGTCAATATGTGCTCGTGCTGTTCCTTGATCTACTTCTTGATTCTTCTTTGGTAGTGGTTCAGTTTCAGAGCATTGGGTGAGTCTGCGCTCCCCTGATTCGTTTGACGCAGCAGAGCTCTGGGGAACTAGCTGTGAGTGCAAGAAGTCCACCTCGGAGTTTACTTCTCTGGCTGCTGTTTGTTCTCTGCACAGCTTTAGCAATGACCGAGGAGCGTTTGCTCTGACAACTGCCAGCCCTGACTGCTGAGTCACCGAGACAGGAGGCATCAGCTGTGAGCTGGTGCCCAGGCAGAGGTAAACTTGTAGTGGGGGTGGCTCAGAGGAGCCTGTAGCCCTTCCTGAATATCCCTGTGGGGCTGGCGTGGCCCTTGGCCACGTGAGGGAGGTGACTTTTATAGCCCCACTCTCAATCTGATGATTGCCTTTTAATAATGCAGCTTAATATCGGAGCACCAGGGTGAGCCAGGGGTAGCGAAGGGCTACGTCTGGTCCCAGCGTCCCTCTTGGTCCTGTGAAGTGAAACGGGCCAGAAGACACCACGGTACCGGAGTCTGGTTCCTGACTGGGACGGTTCAGCTGGAAGAAAAGCAGACTGATGGATGTAGCCAGTTCATAAACTTTCAGGGAATGAATTGAAACATGCGGGCAACTGCTCAGGGCGAGGGCTGTGCCAGGCTGTCCCTTGGCTGAGGCTGTTCTGGGGGTTTTAGCTTGAGCCAGACAAGGAGGCAGGAGACTGCTGATGGTCACTGTGATATTTCAAAATAATTTTACTTTAAATTTTATTTATATCTTAAAAATAAACATCAGTATTAAAATATCAGTAAACAAACCTGTGAAACCAAAGCAGTGAGTATGGAATACATACAGAGCAGTGTACTAGAGAGTGGCTGTGAGCATCGTATGTTAACTTCAGTGCAAAGCTGAAACAGGCCCACTTGAGGACAGCAGCGTGTTGCCCAGAGCAAGTTTCTTGGGGAGCATTTCCCAGCTTACAGTATGGCTCAGACCAGGCCTGTGTGGGGCAGGAGTGATGGTGGGGGAGGCTGGGCCAAGGAGCAGAAATGGGGGCTGCGACACGCGTTACCTTTGTGAAGGATTCAGAGAGCAGAGCCAGCTTCACATGCAAAAGCCTCTTTCTTCTTCCTCCTGGTCCTTGGTCCTTACCTTGTCTGTTCCCACCCCGCCTGGTGCACACACACTCACACAGACGCACACACGTCCTCCGACATACGTGCCCACCTCTGTGGGCCCTAGGCGCTCTCTCAGTTCTTCTTGCCGATCTTTTTTTCCTCAGCCGCTCTCCTCCCTTTTGGGAAGGAAAGTGGGCAGAGGGACTTGGTTGCGGGCTCTGTTTGCCTTCACAGTCAGTGGCTGTGAGACTGTTTAAAATGGGAAGTGTTTAGGAGGTAACTGCTATCTTTCCCTTAGAAAGGGAGGTCCCGCTCGCAGTGTGGGGTATTGGCTGGGCAGTCTCGGTCCCTAAATGCGTTCATGGCTCTCAGCCCCCTTCTGTAAGCTTGGCTGCAGCCCCCAGTGCCCAGAAGTTTTGCTCCCATTGAGCAAATCAAATCACCGAGTGATTTCATGTTGAACTCCATCCTTTGAACAAGCAATACAATTTTTTTTCTTTGTGTGCGTGTGCTAGAAAAAATTCTCATTTCAGCCAAGAAAGGAAATGCCACAAAAGAAGGGCAAGTATTTCAGTCTGGAAGTGCTCCCAGCCCACATCCGAGGCAGCGTTAACCAGCTGGTTTGTGTCCCCTCTCCCA